AGAACACAATCTCCCCAGGGCCACAAGCCGAGAAAAGCCCTTCACACCTTGCATTTAGCTCTGTGCTAATTCCACTCAGAGACGCTCATTTGTTCCCATCTTCACCTTTGCTGAGACGCTGATGCAGCTCCTAACAGAGGAGCGCGTCTGATACAGCGGTGGGTGGTCCATTTTTTCCCGAAAAGCTGTTATTAAGTTGATGGTGCATCTTACACAACAGCATTTTATTTTTTTTTTAAAGATTTTATTTATTTATTTGGGGAACGCAAGCAGGGAGAGTGGGAAAGGGAGAGGGAGAAGCAGGCTCCCCGCTGAGCCAGGAGCCCGATGCGGGGCTCGATCCCAGGACCCTGGGATCATGACCTGAGCCGAAGGCAGACGCTTAACCGACTGAGCCACCCGGGCGCCCCTCAACAGCATTTTAAAGTCAAGGAAATATGTAAAGACAGTTTCTGGGGGTCACCTGACCGCTCATCCATACCACATCTGCTCAGTGCCTACTATGTGCAAGGCTCTCCCATGTGCTGAAGTATAAACGCGTGTCGATTCCCATGGGACACGCGGAACCATCAGACCTTCATCCCCCTGGACCGGCAGGCAGGCGCAGTATATCCCATTGCAGACCCTTCCTTGGAGGCCTTGCCCACCCTTGGCCTCCCCTACAGGCTGCCTCTTGCCTCTCCAGTGGTGGTGGCCACAGCCTGGTGGTGGGCATCTTACTCTTCCCTTTACAGATGAGGAAACTGAGGCTCAGAGGGTTAGGTGGTGTGTCCAAGGACACAGAGTCAAGAGCATGTGGAGCGTGGTCCCAACCTTCTCTGGGCAGGGCCCTCACGGTCTCATGGGGCTGGGGCCGCAGGTCAGAACCAGCAGCCGGTGGGGAGAGAGCCCAAGAGAGATGTTTGAGGGCCAGAGTCAGTGCTCAGAGTCCAAGATGGGGCAGCAGCTCTGATACTGGTATCCAAGGCGAAACGGTCGGGTATCTGGGGGGAGGGTGGCCAGGAGGAGGGGAACAAAGAGGGGCTCTGGCCCAGGGCTGGGGCTGATGAGGAGTCCCCAGTGGCAGTGGGCTCTGGTCGGGAGGGACCTCTAGGCAGGCTGGCTCTTCTAGAAGAGTCCAGGATGGACAAGTGGCCCCACAGGAGCTCCGAGAAAAGGAGCAGGCAGGGAGGGCTTCCTAAAAGACAGGGCACTTGAACATGGGTGTGCCTGAAAAGAGCCCATCTACGGCAGTATGAGAGGGAAGCTGGCCAGAGGAGAACCACCACCCCCAGGCTGGCAGAAAGGGATTCTACAGCCCTGCTGTGGGCCAGGCCCTAGGCTGGGAGGATGGAGGGGGTCAGCCATGGTCCCTGTCCTCAGGCAGAGCGCAGGTTGGCAAGAGAGGCGGTCTCAGAGGCAGAGGCCACGTGCTGGTCTTGGTGCTGAGATAGAATGGGGGGAGGCGAGGCTCCCGGCTGGCTGACCAGGAGCATCCCTTGGTGTGTATGATGAAGCCCTTGGTGCCGGGAGGAAAAGAAAAGGAGAGGCGGGCAGGGTGGGCCTCAGAGAAGAGGCGGCACTTGAGCACACCCCTGAAGAAGAGGCCTTGGGTGTGGGGGGGGGCCACTGTGTGCCTGCAGGTGGCCTGGCAAGGAGGTGGGTATGAGGACTTTGGGTCAGAGAAGCTGGGGTGGCCGTGGGGGCGGGTGGGCCTGGCAGGGAGTCTATGGGTCCCACCTGCCTTGGTGTGGAGGTCGGGGTGGGGTGAGGTGGCTCTGAAGTGAGGACTCGGGGCCCCACCTGCGGGCCCAGGGGCGAGGCCAGGTGTGGGGCCTGGGGTGGGGGGTGTCCGGCCACCCCCATGGGAGAGTGCTGCCAGGCACAGAGCACAGGGCGGAGGGAAGGGTGGGAGAAGGCCTGAGGATGGAGGGATTCGGGGAGGGTGCTCTGGGGGTGCCGAGGGCCCAGGGGAGCGGGGGGACGGTACGACGGGGTCTGAGCCAAGTTGCCCAGGCCTCCCCCTGACCTCCTTCTGCGTGCCTTTGCTTGGCCACCAACATCCCCTGCTTTTGCTTATCACCCAGGGGTTCCCTTGAGTCCAGCCATCTTGCTCCCTGGATGCTCTTTGGGGCTCTGAGGCCGGGAGACCGGTTCTGTGGGTTCAGCTGGCTCCAGGCTGAGTTGGGGGACTCCAGGCCGCCTTCTCAGAGCTGCCAACACAACTCCGAATTTGGCAATGCCCACTCATTTGAGCAGAGGGGTGGGGAGCTAGTGGTGACCTCGCCAACCACCTGCGGTGTGGCCCCGAGGGGCCAGGAGGCTGCTCTGAGCCTGGTCCTTGTGGGACTTGGCTCAGGGTAAATACCACAGACCGGGAAGGAGGGGAGGCTGGGACCACAGAGATTTATTTCTGCACGGTTCCAGAGGCTGAAAATCTGAGAACAAGGTGGGCTGGCTCCTTCCGAGCCCCTGCCCTGGGCGTGCAGACGGCTGTCCGCTCCCCCTGTCCTCACTCGGGCATCCGTCTGTGTGGGTCTGTGTCCTACCGCCTCTAAGGCCCCCAGCCAGACTGGGTTAGGGCCCATCCTAAGGAGCTCATTTGAACATAATCACCTCGCTAAAGGCCCTGTCTCCAAACACTGTCATATTCTGAGGTACTGGGGGTTAAGGCTTCAGCCTATTAATTTGGGGGATGGACACAGGTGAGCCTGGAGCAGTCCCCGCTTGTAAATGAGGTGATAGGATAGCTCTGAGGAGCCATCGAGCAGGGCAGCGTCCTGTCGCATCAAGCACCTGCTTTGAGGGGTATCCAGTCTGCGCCCATCCACCAGGTGGGACCACATCTGGCCTTGGTCTGTTGGGTGCCCTGAACGTGAGGGATGCTGGGGCAGACCCAGCAGTCTGGTTCAACCACTTTCCTTCTCCCCAGGTTCCCTCCGGCTCCTGCCTGCTCCCCCTAACCCGGGCCACGCCTTCAAAACGCATTCTTTGGGCACCTGCTCTGTGCCATGCTAGGGTGGCAAGCTGTCACGTGCAGCTGTGCTTGCCACTTTCATGAGCAAATAGGTGCCCTTTTGGGCTAATTGGAGGTGGATTTCTGTCATTTGTGAACAAAAAGGTCCTGACAACTATACTTAGCCTGGCCAAGGTCCTGAGGTTAGGGCAGGGTGGGGGGGGGGAGTGGGAGGAGTGACTCCCACATAAATAATCTGGGTCTTTCCCCCCCGCTGGGCTGTGGGGAGAGTTTGGGGAGGCAAGAACATAACCAATAACAATGCAAACAATCACAGTGATGGAGGCAGGGGGTGGCAGGTACTGGGTGGGGACTCCTGGGCGCTCTGGGTGCACGGGAGGCCAGGATTGTTTCGGGCCAGGCTGGTCAAGGGGTACACTGTGGAGCTGGGGGCTTTGGAGCTGGGCCATGCAGGTTATGTTAGCTCCCTTAGTCTGAAGTCATTTGGTTCCCTATTGTGCAGAAAGGAGTCACAGAGAGGAACCGTCTCCTGCTAGGAGCTCACCTCAATGCTTGCCTCTGACCCTGGCCCATCAGGGCTGCCTCCCCAGGCAGAGAACGCTGGGGAAGGACAAAAAAGGGGGCCCCAAATCTTGCCCCAGGGAGTGCTTCAGGGCCCTAGGGCCCCTGAAGGAATGGATAGGACTTTCCCAGATGGCAGGGAGGCTGGGGGTGGGTTGGGGCAGGAGGGTAGAGGAGAGTTCAGTTCTGGATTTGTTGAGTGGGAGGCGCCTGCAGAACTCCCACGGTTGTAGGATTCTGCAGAGCAGGGAGAGTGGGCTGGAAACACGCTTGGCGGACAGCAGACGGGACAGGCAGGGCCGAGCCCAGAGGATCCAGCTGGGCAGGGGATGCCGAGGAGGCTGGGTGACAGCCTTCAGGCTTTCTCTATTCTCTGGGTTCCCCCTACCCTCCCAGCCCAATCTCCGGTAGCCATGTCCTGGTCAGACCTGGGTGGGGAGCCGATAGTGGGTACCCCTAACCCAGGATAAGGGCCTGGGTTCTGAGGGGTATTTTCCTCCATCTGTCCATTCAGCACCGTCCTGTGAGTTAGGCAGCCTCTGGTCCTGGAGGACCTGGCGGCAGGAGCGCTTGGGGGTGGTGGTGGTGGTGGTGTCCGAGACCCAGGGGCAGGAGCGCTTAGAGTGGGACCCCTCTTCTGCTGCCCTGCCCCATTGTATGGTGCCCGGAGAGGAGGTGGCCGGCTCCCTTCAATGACCAGGAGAAAGTGGGGACGAACCCAGAGGCCCAGATCCTGAGGCTAGGCAGCACGGCTGAGCATAGCGGGAGCCCCTGGGGCCAGGCGTCTGGAGTCCGGAGGGAGTACGTACCCACCCACCCCAACCGTGGGCAAGCAGTGGCGGTCACGGGAAAGGCGTATGCCTATGGGATGCGGGTAGCCACTGGCAGCAGTCACCATGTCGGAACCACTGGCGGTCCCGGCGCGTCCCCTGGCTGTCCCGCGTGTGGGCCGCGGGCGAGGTGACAGCAGCGTGCGTGCTTGTGCGTGGCTGTACCCGAGACTTTCGCCGTGACGAAAGCGCGGGAACGCCTGGCCGCGGCCGCGACTGGCGGGCCTCCGCGCGGAGGAGCCGCTGCGCGTGCGCGTGAGTGCAGGTGGCGGGGACGCACGTGGGCCACCCAAACAAAGGTGGCGCCGAGTGACCGAGCGTGCGCGCGCGCGCGCGCGGCCCCGCCGGGACAGGCGCGCCCCCCGCGGGCTCTGGAGCCCGCCGCGCCGGGAGGGCGGGG